CGCTGCCCACCCGCATCCTCCTCCCGCATCCTCCTCCCGCATCCCGCGTTGCTCCGGCAACCGCAGCCCACGGCGGGGCCGGCCCGGCCGGGGGTCCCCGAACCCCGGGAGGGGTCCCCAAATCCCGGGGGGGGTCTCCAAACCCCGGGGGGGTCCCCGAACCCCGGGGGGGTCCCCCAATTGCGGAGGGGGCCCTCAATTCTGGGGGGGGTCCCCGAATCTCGCACGGGGGGTTGGGAACCCCTGGGACCCCCCCGAGCCCCCCCAGGCCGGGGGGGTCACCTTGGGGGTCGGGGGGTCCGCAAGTTTTTGGGGAGGGGGTCCCAGAGAATCAGCGGGACCCACAGGACACCCCCAAAATCCTGGGTGCGCCCCCAAATCGCGGGTGCGCCCCCCCCCCAGCAGGCATGGACGGGGTTGAGCTGGTGTCCGAGACACCCCAAAATTCCACCCGGGAACCCCAAAATTACTCATGGGACCCCCAAAATTCCACCCGGGAACCCCAAAATTACTCATGGGACCCCCAAAATTCCACCCGGGAACCCCAAAATTCCACCTGGAAACCACAAAATCCCTCCCAGGAACCCCAAAATTCCACTCAGGATCTCCAAAATTCCACCCGGGAAGCGCAAAAAGGGGTGGGGGAGGGGTGAGGGCAAGGCCTGGATGCCCCCCAAAATCCGGGTGCCCCCCAAAATCCGGGTGTCCCCAGCAGCTATTGGCTGGTGTCCCCAATCCCGGGGTTTTGGGGGGATTTTGGAGGGGTCCCCAAATTCCAGAGGGTCCCCAAATCCCCCCTGGGAATTCTGGGGGTCCCTCAGCACCCCCGGGGCCCCAAAAACTCCAGGGGGACCCCAAAAAAACCCACCCGCAGCCACGGAATGGGCTGAGCCGGTGTCTGGCACCAGCACGGACCAGTAAGGACCAGTAAGGACCAGTAACAACCAGTAAGGGCCAGTAACAACCAGTAAGGACCAGTAATGACCAGTAAGGACCAGTAACAACCAGTTACACCATCCACATCACCCAGTAACACCAGTAATACCAGTAACACCAGTAACAGCATCTCCATCTCCCAGTAACTCCAGTAACAACCAGTAACACCAGTAACAAGCAGTAACCCTCAGTAACCCCCAGTAACCCCAGTGACTCCCAGTAACCCCAGTTACAGCATCCCCATCTCCCAGTAACTCCCAGTTACAGCATCCACCGGTCCCAGTAACTCCCAGTTACACTATCCACGTCTCCCAGTAACTCCCAGTTACACTATGCATGTTTTCCAGTAGCTCCCAGTTACAGCATCCCCT